GACCTTGACGTAGCAGCTGCCGCCTGACATGCACACACAACCAGACAATCACACGCGCATACACACCCTTGTATCACCGCCTTCATTGTTCATGTCTTGTGACTTGTTCTAACTGTCATACGCTTGTTTACGTGCTGGAGTTTTTTTTTTCTTTCTTGGACTCAAATTATCCTCAGATGAGGATAGTTCGAGCATGTTTTTTTTTTTTTCTCCCCCTCTCCCTCCCTTGTGTTTTTTTTCTGACTTCCGGGTTGAGTGAACGTTGGCGCGTTTGGCTGCCGCTGCTCAACCCGCATTGTGTTTTATGGTTCTTGTTCCTGATTGTAAAGTGTTCTTGGGTGTTTTGAAAGGCGCTTATAAATAAAATGTATTATTATTATTCTTATTATTATTATTATAAACAAATACTGCAAAAATTTAAATAATTCAGTAGCAGGCCTGAGGATTTCAGAAATTCACGGTAACCGTTTTTTCGGTTCCGTCGGATTACCCAATGAGAAACCACGGTAACTTTTGGGTTCTGTCAACGTTCAACCCATTTTTCTAGTTTGACTGATATTCATAATCAAGAATTCTGAAACTCAAGTATCACGTTTCAAGTGTAAATGTTGTATTAACAATGAACATTACATCAGCAGCTGTGTACTCCAGGTTTATTAAAAAAAAAAATAAATGAACGAAAATATAGTGTACTCATATGGCATCATGAATACAGCATACCACAAAAAAAGAGTATTTTTTCCAATCTCACACTGCAAAGATTAATTTACTGGTAATCATTAATACAGGTAAGTATTGACGTGGCTTGACATTGAAGTCTGTATTCTGCTCATTTTTCATCATGCTGTATAACTTTCCCATGCCCGCAGTGTAGCTTGGCGTCCTTGTAACAATCATCACCTAGAATTGGAATATTCCCTACTGAAGACGCACAAACTTTGGAATGCGCCAAGCTGAGAATGGGTTGAGGAGAAACGAAAATTATGATATCACAATTTGTGTCTCGGTACCGCCCTTCTGATGGTATAAAAATGATGTGAATCTCTTCCTGCTTCGCACTCGTGACGCACAGCCATTGTCTGTAATTCGTGGGTGCCCGGAATATTCTGTTATTAAAAGCTTCGAAGGAACTGTTCATCGACTCCAGCCTTTATTTGGATTACCAACATTCTCCTTGTCCGAAATTCAACGAACACGCGGGGGAGAGGAGGCCGCTCTTCCCCCAACAATATCCTCTTCCCAAGACGATGCATGTGTGATCTACTCTCAATTTGGCGAAAGAATCTAACACACGTCATCATTAGTTCTACCGACAGTTAACATTAGCATTAGTACACCTTGTGACGAATGTTTTATTCCTAAAGTTACCATGCTACAACCAGTAAATTATAGAATAACCAATAATATTTCAAAATATTTTTCATAGCGATTAGCCAATAGATCTAATGTCCAGTTTGCCTCGGAATCGTGCCTCCCGTATCTCGCCCTCGTGGTCTGTGCATACGTCACAGGAGAGTTTAGTGAAACGCCCTTCGGACGATTCATACGAAAAATCAGACTGGCATTCCCATTTCTTAAATGTCGTAATTAGTAGACCTTTGTGTGTTTTTTTCGCGTCATCTCAAACTTTCATCCGCACGATTCCTCAACATGCGGACTAAAATATCAACCCGCATGCGCACATAACGTTATCTGTTCCGTCCCCCCCGCCCCAACACTGAAAACAAAACGAAAGTAAATTCAAAACAGCGACTCACACACCACACCACAAAACACATACGGGCACAGTGAAATCGCGTTGATCACACAGGAGAGATTTGATCGCGTACAGCCAACTCGTGTGCGGTTACTTTATGGTTAAAGGATTTTTCAGTACCGTCAAAATGACGCCACGGAAACGACACGCTATCGGTAACGATTGTTACCGTGAAATCCTCAGGCCTGCCATAGTTTTTTTTTCTTTTGACTGAGAAATTTCCTTGCGTCCCAAAAATGCACATTATTTGGAACTGTGCATCCCGTGGGTAAATTATGCGTCTAGGACGTGGGACGCAGAGGTAACGAGATGGCTGTAGCTCTCTTGTCAGGTATTAAGAAATAAAATTCTATTCTTTCAGAAGGTGGCAGTGACTAACTCTGACAGCAGAGGGAAGCAATCGGCGCTTGCTGTGCACGGCCAATTAATTGTCACGTTTTTTTGCGTTGAGAAATTCTTTTAAAAATCAATGAAATGTCACGGAATTTTCTTCACTGGGGGGCCATTTTGACGTATTGCTAATTTTTCGATGGCAGTCAGAAATATGTTATTTTAAAGAAGGTTGCAATGACAAACTACTACCAGAAGAGGGAATAGACGGACTTCTACCGTGCACGTCCCAGTGGGGCTCTTCTCGCAATTGAGAGCGAAGAAGATCCAAAAACAAGGTGGAAACAGTGGGGAAGAACGACCGTTGTGAATGAATAGCAATGTTTTTTGTTTTCAGAAATGGAAAAAATCCATCAGTTGCCACAAAATGATCTTCACAAACTGGGCATTTTGTGTTCCTGATGATTTTTCGAGGGTAATAAATAATATGGTCATCTTTCAAAAGGGTGCAATGAAAAACTGACCACAAAAGGGCAGGAATCGACTTTTGCCTTGCACGTCCCAAGGGGGCCTTTCTTGCAATTGAGAGTGAAGAAGATCCGAAAACAAGGTGGAAACAGTGGTGAAAAACGACTGTTGTGAACTAATTGTCGCATTTTTTATGTTCTGAAAAAAAAATCCACCAAATGTCACACAATTTTCTTCACAGGGGTCCATTTTGTGTTCCTGCTGATTTTTCGATTGTCATCAGAAATCGTGTGGTATTCTTCAAGGATGTTGCAATGACAAACTAAGACCAGCAGATGGCAGTAACGGACTTCTGCCGTGCACGTCCCAATGGGGCTCTCGCAACTGAGAGCGAAGAAGGTCAATACACAAGGTGGAAACAGCGTAAAAGAACCCTCCATCCATCCATCCATCTTCCGAACCGCTTTGTCCTCACCAGGGTCGCGGGGGGTGCTGGAGCCCATCCCAGCTGTCCTCGGGCAACCGGTTGCCAGCTAATCGCAGGGCACACAGAAACACAACACAACCATACGCGCTCACACCCACACCTAGGGACAATTTGGAGTGTTCAATCAGCCTGCCATGCATGTTTTTGGAATGTGGGAGGAAACCGGAGGACCCGGAGAAAACCCACGCAAGCACGGGGAGAACATGCAAACTCCACACAGGAAGGCCGGAGCTGGAATCGAACCCGGTACCTCTGAACTGTGAAGTCGACATGCTAAGCACTCGCTACCGGGCCGCCCCATGGAAGAACCCCCGTTGTGAATTAATTGTCATTATGTTTTTGTTCAGAAATTTTAAAAAATCCATAAAATGTCACAAAATGATCTTTACAGCGCTGCCTTCATGTGTAACTGCTGATTTTTTCGAGGGAAATAAGAACTAATATGATCATCTTGAAAAGGGTTGCAATGACAAACTGTGACCAACAGACGGCATTGATCGACTTTTCAGGATAAGCAAGACAGCAAGATGGTATTCTTTCATCAGGCTACATTGACAAATTATGACTAGCAGTAGGGAGTCATCGACTTTTGCCTTGCACGTCCAAGTGGAGCTCTCTTGTCAGGTATTGAGAAATAAAATGGTCTTCTTTCAGAAGGTGACAGTGACTAACTCTGATGAGCAGAGGGAGGCTATCGGCGCTTGCTGTGCACGGCCAAAGAGGGCTGTCGCATTTCAGAGCAAAGAAGAGCCATACACAATGTGGAAACAGTTGTGAAGAACGACCGTTGTGAATTGTCACAAAATTATCTTCACTGGGTGGACATTTTGTCGTGATTATTATTATTATTATTATTATTATTATTATTATTATTATTATATATGTTATTTTTAAGAAAGTTGCAATGACAAACTATAACCAGAAGAGGGAATAGACGGACTTCTACCGTACACGTCCCATTGGGGCTCTTCTCGCAATTAAGAGTTTGGTTTTGGTTTCGTTTGTTTATTGAACATAAAAAAAAGTAATAAATTGACAGAAACTAAGGTAAGTAAAATAGTAAAAAGGAAAGAGAAATCAGTCATCATTCAACACAATTATTATGTTCAAGGGAGTAGGAAGAAGTAAAAAACTTATCTAGTCCTACCCCGTGTTATGTGTTGATATATAAATAGATCATTTTTATATCAATCAGAAAAGAAAGAAAGAAAGAAGGAAGAAGTCTCCATAAAGGCTCATGCTTTTACCCTTAACCGTGATATTTTTACAACGTTTGGTTTGTATCGGGATTTTATACATACACACCCTGGCACTCTTGTGTCAATTTTCTCTCGTGTTCATAATGGATATTGCAGTCCCTTTCTCTATTTATCAACTTAATTCTGATTTATTATTATATTTAATTAATGTTTAGAATCTAGATAAATAGACCTCCCACTGAACATTCGGCAAGCAAGCCTCCTCGCTGCCCATCTTCAAAACCCGCCTCAAAACTCACTTGTATTCTTTCAAAGAATACAAGTGCTCCTAGCACATAATCACATACTGATGAAATGTGCATTTCGCGTTTCTCAGAGACTTGTTGGTATAGCTGTACGACACACAGCGTGGCATTTTCAACGTACAGACAGAAAATAACACGAAAAAGCCTCGGAACAATCGAAGTGTTTCAGTTAGGCACGCTTGCAAAGTGGCAACATAAGATGGCCGCCTGTGGCTTCACTTCTCGCTACGGGCAGTGAGTAAACTAGTGAACTTGCATTACAATTGTGCACAAAAATGTCAAGAGACTGACGCTGTGGTGCCACTGCCTCCTCCCGCCCCGACAATCCTAACGCATCTTATATGGGTGAAACAATTTATTGAAACAATGTATCCGACATGTGAAAAGTAGTTACGGCGAATCGATCCGGAATCTATGGATGTCTATGTTGTTATCTATACCGGTCTATGGTTGAACTGAGTTGCACAATTTAAGTTCCCTCCACTTGGAGAGGCGCTACGTTGATTTGTCTGGAAGGGCTTTCCGTGTCCTCTTATAAAAAATCTGTTTCTTTGTTTTATGTTTGTTCTTTGCTTAGCAAGGATGAACGGGATTCGTTTATTAGAAAAAATATTTGCTTTCTATTTTATGTCTCACATTCCTATCACGTTATTTATTGACTTGCAAACTGTTCTACCGGGATATTTCTATCCCGAAGCTGTAAGTCCTGCACAATTGATGAAGTTCAAGTACCCTTTTAGTGGCTTTTACTCATTCGTCCGTATAATACAGTATCTGTCCGTAATGTCTTTGCTCTAATGCCTTTGCTCTAGCTGAGAGACCTACTCCAGTGGTATTCAAAGGAATACAAAGATCCAATGCTCCTGCACCCCCCCGAGTGGTTCAAATCTTTCATCGTCTGTGAAGGTCTGCTGCAATTGCCTTTCTTCCCGATTGCAGCATATGCTTTCCTTAAAGGTAAGCTTACCAAATCGTCCACTCTTACTCGAACGTAATCAGCGTTCTTGAAACGTATTACCGTAATTACGTAAAAATATAACGCTAACACCAATGCGTTGCAACAAGTAATTTTATTAACTCATCTTTGATACTCTGATAAAATGTTTATATGTGTGTGAAATAGCAACGACATGCCACATTAATTAATTTTTACAGTCATTTTCTTTTACTGGTGAGTATAAAAAATATTGGCAGTTATCATTTCCGATAATATTTGGTACTAAGAAAAATATATCTTAAAGTAATATTTTCAAACTTTTAATGTCAAAATATCGTTACCGTTATGTGTCCTAAATTAAACTTCATGATTTTCGACATGTGTTCATGAAAATGTTAATTAGAAATTTTGGGGATATACAGTTACTGGACCCATAACCTTGCGTACAAGCTGAATTATCGCGATATTTGTCAGTTCACAAAACCTAATGAATCAATTTTATCCTAAGCCCCCTGATTTCCACGGAGCCTAACCAGTCACAGAGCGACAATGTGTTTGGAGGCAGGATATACGGCTGTACAAAAACTTTTCTCGGTTGAGAATCAGCTTGATTAAAAAAAATCAACTTTGTGTGATTTAAGCACTTTTTAGGATTTTACTTTCGTACTTTTTGATAATTCGCAAAAAAAAAAAAAAAATTAAACAACAAAGAAATAAAAAAACTAAATCTACTCTTTGAGGCCATTTTTTCCTCAAGCATACTGTCACAAATAAAAACTAAAATTCGACTGACAAACTGTTGTTATGTAACTGATTGCTCAGTATCACATATCAATGGCCAATGACCTTGAACAAACAGGCAGATCCTGACCAAGAGATTTTTACTGTTTCATCTGGGGCTATAGATTTTCAGTCAGTGAAAGATGACAAATACATGAATACAAATACACAAATACTGCAGCTCTGCCCCATAGAAATATGGTTCATGTCAAGATAAAATGGTTCACCTTTTGATCAAAAGTGTTTCCTTTCTTTCAGGGAGCTGTCACTGGATCAGGACTCCGGCCATTATTTATTCCACGCATGTTGCTACCACATTAATCCCGATTCTGTCCCACATCCTTTTTCATAACTCCACTATTGAAAGCCGGTGGTCTCCACAGACATGGCAGGAACGCTGGATGCTTGCTGCCATATATGCTCCATACTTATTTATCCCCGTCCTACTACTCTTCACCATGCTGCTGTCATCCACATACAATCCTGCTAAATTTGGAAATACATTTCTGAACAAAACAAAGAAGAAGTATTAAAATATTGCCAAAGTTTCATGATTTTGTCAGGCATCATTCATACTAAGATCACTTATTCGTCAGGTTTTTATTTTGTTTTTTTAACTTTTTTTTCCCCCTACATAACTTTATTAATTATGCCATTCCGCAATAAATCTGGAGAAAATAAGTGGATCACTTAATTGTGGAATTCAAGTGGAAAGACACTTCCTTCCTTTTTGTTACTGGGGTTTGTTTCTGTCAACTGTAGTACCATTTATAGATGTGTCTTGCCTAATCACCTCCAGTCAATTGGATGATCAGTTTGCAAGCGCTTTCTTTTCATGTCTGGTTTTCCTGGCTTTGTTGTTGCCAATGATTTATGTTTATACTTTGTTAATACTTCATTTTTCTAAAAATAAATGATTTTTTGAACTCAGTTTATCTTAGTCTGCATTTTTGGGATCCACACACCACCTGGTTCGTGTTTGGACCGTGGCAGTCTGACTGACATTACAGTTCAGTTCAACATGAAAAAAATGTGACGGATGGGTGCCTGAGCCACTGATAGATTACATATCTCTCTCTATATACAGTATGCCTCTCTCTGAAATGTGAATTTATTTAATTGCAGGATTTTATTCAGCAATAATCATTTAAAATATGATTTTTAAGTACATGAGTATAAAAGGGCTAAAGCTATCAGCATACAATGATATCAAAATACAATCAAAATAATTGTCCTGTTGATGGTTGAGCTGGACAAATCAAATTATATAATTTGTTCATTACCTCTTTATGACCCACAAATAATAAAAATAAGTGCATAAACGGAATATGGTGTTTTAGATTACCTCTACCCTCGCAAATTTAGGGATATAGGTGTATTTATTGTTATTTTGTTTATGTATTTTTTTTCTTTTTTCCCCATTTTATTTACTTAAGTTTTTATTTTGGTTCTTTTTTTTTGTTCTTTCTGATTTGTTTGTGTGATGTTTGTGGCTTTAAATATTGAGTTCTCATGCTGTATTCAATGTGCCAAATTATGCGTACATTTTGTGAATTAATAAAAACCACAAATGTAATACAGTAACGCTCCTATTCGTTAGGGGGCGGTGATCTTATTTACGATCATGTTCGAAGAAGAGTCTGTTTTCGTCCGGGTCATTTTTGACGTGCTGTATTTTCGTCCGGGACATCTATCCGTTTGCAGCAACGCAATTGACTGGGTCGCAAACTATTCATTTTATTAATTTGAGCTTATCCTATTTGTCTTTATTGCTTAATCAAAATACGGATCATGAACCGGCCTGGTCAACGTCAGTGTGGCCCGCCACCTCCATCTTTCGGCGTTCCACCATCTCGCGGCCCTCCTTACAATGTCGGTGCTTCGTGTGAGCCTTCTGCTCGAAATTTACCTCCTGGACGGTCCGGACCATTTTCGTCTTCGGCGCCTCTGGGAACCCAATTTCTACAAAGACCTCCAGGACCTAATTATATGAATGTACGTACGCAACACGCTCATGCACTGAGGGGGGAGACCGGGGACTGGAGGTTAAAATATTTGATAAGGGATCAAGGAGAAACAGTACCACATACTGTACACTCGAAACAGAATGTCAATGTTTGATACGTGTAAAAATCATGTACAGTGGTGAATCAAGATATCGACCTGTCTTTTTTTATCCCTGCGTTTACGGCATATTTAGCTTGTGTCTTCCAGTTTAGCAAGTTGGTTGGGTTTTATACATGGACGTTTAAATTAAGCACTGAAGTAGGAAGTATCTCAAAATATCCCAGTACAACAGTGCAACATTGTGAGAGAAATATAATTTTTTAATTCTCTTTCTTGCAAAACTGTCTTAGACATGGTGGGAGGTGATGACACATTGGTTATAAAGTGCAATAAATGCTTGTGGTAATCTAGAATATATTAAGACTTGAATTTAGAAGGATGTTAAAATATGAGAAGTGGTTGCTACTCGTATTTCTACTACTTCGCTGTCAAAAGAAAGCATCCAACTTTAATGGTATTCTCTCAGACTGTTGTGTCAAGAAGTTCGAAAAGCAATTGGACTTTTTCCACTTCTTGGTACCAACATGGCCTGGCATAACTCTGTCATTGAGCCTTTTCCAGTGGCAAAACCAGGTACTGCCAGGTTGAGTACTCCGGGACTGTAGTTTTATTAAAGTTCCAAAGATGTGAAAGGATACTGCTGTATATGAGTTTTGTAAACCGCAGCCGATCTTTAATAGGTGAAGCAGAATGTTCAGCTAAAAATGAAAATGATAAACACATTAATGACAATGATAAACACGTTTTATTTAACAGTCTCCACTTCGCTGAAGGGGTCAGTTTTCTTTCTGCGCTCACTTTCTTCTCCAGTGAAATTATTTTGATAGATTCAGTATTATCTAATTTTTGCAGTTTTTTAGTGAAGGTATTGTCTATGGTAAGTCATCATTAGTGTCTGTTAAATACAACTAAATTCTGAGCAGGCACAACTTGAGTGTCAAAAGAAAGTACAGTCCCCTCCAAATGTACTGGAACAGCAAGGTGAATTCCTTTGTTTTTATTGCACACTGAAGACATTTGGCTTTCAGATCCAAAGATGAATATGAAACATAACAACAGGAATACCTTTTATTTCATGGTATTGACACTGATGTGTTAAACAGCTCAGGAGAGGGCACGTTTTGTTTGAATTTATTGGAAGATATGACTTATGCGTGTTTCTAGTTGCTCACGTGTTGCCTTTTAGATTTATTGCTTGAATATTAGATATTGAATTATTATCTGTATTTGCTGTGAAGCAAACATGAAGACTAGAGAGCCGTCTATGGGACAAAAGCAAACCATTTTGAAGCTGAGAGAGGGAAAATCGATCAGAGCTGTTATATACAAACATTGCGCTTAGCCAGTCCAACAATTTGGAATGTCCTGAATAAGAAAGAAACGACTGGTGTACTGAATAACGGACATCGGAAAGGTCGGCCAAAGGTATCAACAGCAGTTGCTGACATTATGAGAGCTGTGAAGAAACACCCAAAGATAACCGCGACACCAATGCAAACCTCTACAGGGCAGGGGCAAAGGCATCAGAATCCACTGTTCAAAGAAGACTTTTGAGAAAAGAAATATACAAGCTATACTACAAGATCCAAAGCATTCATCAGCAAAATGAATTGGAAGGCCAAATTGGATTTTGCAAAGCAGCACAGAGATGAGCAACAAAATTCAGGTGTGTTGAAGGGAGGGAGACAGCTAATCAATGTGGGATAGGGGCCCTCGAGGAACAGAGTTGGTGACCCCCTCCTGAAGGGAGAAACCCCCAGAAGCAAACAAGAACTGAAAGAGGCTTTCAAGTCCCGGAAAAGCATTTCAAATGAAGAATACAACAGGGACGTCAGTGAGTCGTATCGCAGGCTTAATGCAGTTAAGGCTTATGCCACCAAATTTGAAAAGTTCACTGAATGTTAATTCAATAATGTCTGTTCCAATACATTTGCTCACTTGAAAAGTGGGTGGCTTCAAACAAAAGGTGCTCTGCCCTGAGTTGTTTAACACATCTTTATCTACAACAACAACAAAATAATTGACATTGCCATTCCAATACCTTTGGAGAGTACTGTCAGTGCTGTCTCAGCTTAAATGATTGCACTGCTCCTTCATAACCAAAATTGAGTCCTCATACTCCATGCACCACATTTTAGAATTAAATATATATCCTTTATTCAGTTATACAGTGTATGTAAAATGTTTTATCGTTGTTGAAATGACATGGGGTTTTTTTGTGATACAGAAAATGAGAGCAAGATAAATAATTTCTCAACATTTTCTGTCAAAAATAACAACTGAGATAACTCTTTCCGCTGGGGATGACACTGCTCAGAATTATCCAATCTTATACAATAGAAGTCCGTGCACATCTACCACCGTTTTAACTGTCTCTCATTAACACCCCCCCCCCAAAAAAAAGTTCAGGTGTTGTAGTTGGCTTTTCCTGACAGAAGGATGCACAACAGTGACCTTGACAAGAACCGGCACCCCCCTCCTAAAAAGAAAACTGGCCAGGGAGGCTGCCAAGCAGCAAACAGCAATACTGAAGGATCTGCAGAGATTTTTGGCAAACACAGCACCTCTTATCACCAAAAGAACAGCATACCTTTAGTGAAGCGTCATACTTTGGGCTGTTTTCTTCAGTTGAAACTGGGGTCTTAAGGGGTGTTCACACGGCAACATTTGCTCCGGTGCTACGCCAGTGCTGCCCCAGTAGAGCGGTCACACGGGCAAAGTTACACCGGTGTAGCACCTGAAAACAGCTTACTCCGGAGCAAATTTAACCCACTCAGGGAGGTGGTTTAAAAATTTGCTCTGGAGCAAATGCTCGTTTGCGGGGCAGCACCAATGTAAAATGGTACGTGTGAACGCTACAGGGTTAAAAATTTGCTCCGGAGCAAATGCTCGTTTGCGGCGGGGGGAGTAGCCTCGCTACGCATGAGAAGAGTTGATTACGTACGGCTAGAATGCGTTGCTTTCGTGCTCTGTTGTACTTCCGTCAACTGTTTGTCTAATAACGACACAAGACATGATGGCGTTTGACTGGTGCTTTAGTAGATTATAGAATGGCAACTGGCAATAACAGTAGCAAGCGGCACCTTGCCTCTTGGGTTATACCATCTCAACTTTCCTTTTGTAGGAGACTGGACTGTCTCGGAGTTGTTTGTGTAGTTTGTTCCTCTGTTGTGTGTTCACAACCCCCCCATAGAATTTATTTTGTGATTTCCTCTCTTGATTTTCTGTTTGGCGCATTATATGTTTGCTTTTCTGAGTGTCATTGAAGTCATCGTTGATTTACGTTTTCGAGGGGCGGTCACTGAACGCATCTCGAGCAGAAGGCACGGAGACCGAGAAGGAGAAGGACGTGCCTGTACAGCAGTTGCATGAGTTGTATATGTTTTAAAAAGAACCAACACGACAGCTCTTTGTTTTCTATCGTTTTGCTCCGCTGCAGAAACTGCCGTGTGAACCCAAGTGGGGCTGCGCCGGTGCGAACACGCTCAGCAGCTTTGTACGTGTGAACGCTCCACAAAATTTGCTCCGGTGTCAGATATATCGCAACAAAATACATCGGTGCAGCACTGGAGCAAATGTGTGCCGTGTGAACACCCCTTTAGTGAAGGTGGAGGCAATTATCAACAGTTCCATCGAACATCTGTGGACTGATCTGGTGAGGGCTGTGCCCAGAAGATGCCCTTGCGAACAGAGATCTGGAGCATATTTGCAAAGAAGAGTGAGCAGATAGTGCCATATCAAAATGTGCCGCACTTACAGACTCTTACTCAAAAATATTTATAAGCCAATTTTCCAATAAAGTATCAATTTGAAGGTGTACATATTTATGAAACCAATTTACTGTACTTTGAAAAAAAAGCAACCCGATTATAATATTCTTCCCCTTAACGGGTTTTTTAATGAGTCAGGTTAGAGGTCACATTACTGGCGGAAAAAAAGTTTTAAAATGTTTTATCTTAGCAAAATTTGTTGATATCATTAAACCCTGCATTTGAACAGGGGTGCTTAGACTTTTTAGGTCCACTGTATACTTTTCTTGTCAATTATAAAATGTGAAGTGGTACTTTGACGAACAAGTTGAATTTGTTTCATCACCATGGTCAAAACTGACACCAGATGCAGTTCAACTTTTTCCATTGAAATGAATGGAAATAGCATGAATTTAAATACATATTTTTTTTCAGAGTGGCTGCAAATTTCTTGCAACACGAGTCCAAAAAAAAAAGAGACCATTGCTCTCGGAAAAAAAAAACACAAAGGGGACCCATAGTCAAGGTGCCACTGTATAAAAAAAAATTAAAAAAGCAAAAATACATTTTCATTTGCAGCTGAAGTAATATAAACATGCTATCAATGTCACATGTCTGTCATGAAAAGTACTATTAACATAAATTCTGAATACTCTCAGCCCCACTGTAGCTCGTTCTCCATAGACCGTAGTACTCTTGGAGGCAGCCAGCAGCTTGCCTCTCGGCCACCGCCATCTCATCTTCCAGGTTCCCAATGGAATCCAACACCTGTCAATCACACACCAGACAACAGGTATGTACTGTAGTTGTATATGTTAGGCTGGACGATTATGTAAAAAAAATTATAATCACCATTATTTTGATTGTTATTGAAATCACGAGTATTGAACGTCTTTTCATTGATGTCAAAAGTTAGTATTTATTAAGAGAAGATAAGAAAACCTTTATTTGTCCCACACTGTGGAAATTTGCAATCTACAGCAGCAGAATTGAAGGGGGGGGGGGGGTAGAAAGGAAAAACAAAGTATTGCATGCACAAAATAAATGTTTCAGAAAAAAGAACTGTACACAGTACAGAATGCAATATAAAATACAGATATAAGCATATATGCAACTGCATGTATGCTGTGTAAGGCGGCTGTGCTATTTACAATGTATGGATGGGGTGAGTCCAAGTTTTCACGTGTGTTTATTTTAGCAGCCTGACAGCAGTCGGTAAGAATTACACGACTAAAACGCTCTGACTCACAATTATCATCACCCCCATGCTTTGTCTTCCCTGCACATTGAACACTTTCTTCTTGAGAATTTTTGTCAAGTGCAAAAATTGCAAAAATATCAAGTCTCACGTGCAATTCAAGCCTTTCGGATTTTCATTCTGCTTCAGCCACAGCTTTGAATGCACTCATTCAGTCTCTGAATAAGCGTCTGCCCTTGTCTCGTTATCGTATTTATTCCATCTTGTTTTTATTTCACAAGTCAATACCTCCCAGGCTAAACTGGGGTCTTGGCTTTCATATTTGAATCTTTGAAAACTCAACTTTAAATATAAATCAAAAGAAAAACATGAAAATAAAGTCAAATTATACCATATAATGAGAGCAATTTTTAAAAAATGGAATAAAACTGAACACTGTAAGTTTCTGCTGTGCACATGGTGGCCTCTAATGGCAGTGTAGTGCCATGCACGCATGGAGGACACTACATTGTGATAAGAGAAGAAGAAAAAGGTTGCATGTAAGCTTTATTAATAAAACGTGTCTTTCACAGATTAGGCAAAATCAATACCTTTTAGTATTGCCTCTTTGTATGTGTCTGATTATTGGTTATTTGAAGCGACATCATTCCTGGGAGATGACGCTTACCTTAAAAATGAATTTTTTTCACATTTACATTGACTTTTTCCTTAGCACTAGCGATCGTTCTCAAACAATGCAAATATTTAAATATACAATGTGTGTAATTAGTGTTTATTGTGTGTTTAGTTTAACAGTAATCTCCAACTGAGGTGACATTTAACATTTAACATTGTATAAGGCAAGCTTGATCAGGGCAGAATCGCACACACGTCATACATTCACAACATAGGAACTTCACGCGCTCTTCAGCACATTAATGTTTTTGTGATTGTTAACAGCCAAAATTGAAATCAGAGTTAAATTTCCATCAATTGCCCAGCCTATGAAGATGTAAATGACAGTTAAAGATTGAACATTTTCGATTCTTGATTCAAGATTTTGATTACATTTTTTCAGTGACAGTGCTGGAGAAGAGTTCCTGAGATGTATAGCTGCAAATAAACCTTTCCCAGACTATCTCAGAGGCAACATGGCATACAACCTGGCTGATGCATTAAAGTCAGCCACAATCCTGAAAGAGGCTGTCAAGTCAGACCTTGTTTTCCCGAAGCGTTTGACCAGGAGCAAAAGTCGGAGCAGGAGTCCGAACCACAGCCGTGGAAGATCTCGAGCTCAAAGCCGCGGGCCAAGCCGTGGCCGTAGCTGTGCACGAAGCAGAAGTAGAAGTAGAAGTAGAAGTAGAGGAAGGAGTAAAAGTCACGTTCGTGGAAAAAGTCGGGCAAGAAGCAAAAGCAGAGCTCGCAGTCGAAGCCAAACCAGGGAAAGTCGTGCACGGAGCAAAAGCAGGCCTAGGCTGTCTTCGTCACGAAGTAGCAGCCTGGACAAGAGCCATGATAAAAGCAAAAAGCAGCCAAGAACCCACAGCTACATCAGTGACAACACTGGTCCCAGTTCTAGTACTGGGCTCAGCGGCAGTAGTTTGTTGGAGGGACTTAAGATGGTCATCAACAACAAAGAAATGGCAAACCAGCTGCCCTCTCTCAAGGAGGCAATCCTAACTATTCAGGTAAATCATCTCACTCATAAATTTACTTGTATGTTCTGTTAACTGTGTGTGTGGGTGTGTGCACCCCGCAAGTTCTCCCACTTGGAAATTATGTAGGTGTCGGAATTTTCCTCAAAGGTGCATGTCCACTGTGTGATCAGGAAATCACATTCTCAGATTTTATTTTAATTAATTGATTTGTCTATTAATGCTGCAAGTACCATAAGTATTTGAACATGTGAGACAATCAATGTTAATATTTGGTACGAAAAGCCTTTTTTTGTAATTACAAAGGTCCAGTGTTTCCTTGTAGCTCTTTACTAGTTTTGCACACATTGCAGCTGGGAATTTGGCATACTCCTCCACACAGATCTTCTCTAGATCTGTCAGGTTTAGGTGCCATTGCTAATCAACTCTGAATTTCAGGTCCCTACAAAGATTTTCTATTGGATTTAGGTCCGGAGATTGACATTGTCACAATAGAACATTGATAGGTTTCTTACAGAGCCATTCCTTGGTTATCCTTGCTGTATACTTCCGGTCATTGTAATGTTGTAAGAGTCAGCCATGACCCATCTTCAATGCGTTGACTGAGGGAAGGAGATTGTTGGCAAAATGTCGCGATACATGGGCCCCGTTCATCCTATCTTTATTACAGTACAATCGTCCTATCCCCTATACAGAAAAACACACCCAAAGCATGATGCTTCCATCCCATACTTCACAGTCAGGATGATGTTCTTGGGATGGTACTCATCCTCCCCCTTCCACCAAAGACAGTGAGTGGAGTTAAGACAAAAAAGGTTTACATTATTTTGTTTTCATCTGCTCACATTACTTTCTCCAAATCCTCCCCCTTCCACCAAAGACAGTGAGTGGAGTTCAGACAAAAATGGTTTACAGTATTTTGTTTTCATCTGCTCACATGACTTTCTCCAAACCAAGGTTCCCACGGGTCCTTAAAGTTCATAAAAACCCATAAAAAAGAAGTAAAATTATATTCTTAATTGTCAGGGAAAGCTTCTAAAATCAATAAACATCCTCAAAAATTAACCTGTGATGTTCATTTCATTTGTGTATGTAATTTTCCCCACCCTTCCTATTAATAGTTTTGTTGGAAAATGCGCCTGGCGCCCTTCCCCTCAAACCCCGCTGTCGGGCTACATGCCTTCCTGGTTTCCTTTCTGCTTTTCCCACCGACTCCGATCAGTTCCGATGATGATCACGTGATCACTTCGGGTCATTTCGGGCCAATTTGACATACAGTATGTCAAATAAAGGGTTAGCTGATTGCCCCTAAAAATAAAGATGTGCCCTTCCTTTGGCAGCAATGATATAAACACCAGCTCGGTGATTTCTGTTCATTAAATCCACCGTGAATCCCCTGCTGAATGGAGAAAAAGTCCTTAAAAATGGCTACATTAGCCCTCAAAAGTGCTTAAAAGGCCCATAAATAAAAAGCAAGTGGAAGAGTGGGAACCCTGATAACTCCACTGGATCGTCCGGATGGCCAAACCTCAGAAGGGCCTGAGCATGTCCTGTCCAATTGTCGCTCTTGAAACAATGGTCACAGCTCTCTTCGGGTCATTGAGCAGCTCCTCTTGTCTGCTTCTGGGCTCATTTCTCACCTTTATTAGCTTCATTGATACCCTACAAAGCACCAGTCCGAGTGAGGTTGATAGTCATTATTTGCCTCTTTTCATACAATTGCTCTTTTTTTCACCAAGCGGCTTGGCAATTATCCTATAGCCTATTCCAGTCTTGTGGAGGTCTACACTTTTGTACCGGACAGCTCTTTGGTCTTTCCCATTGTAGTACCACAATATCCGGACGACCGGGGGACCTGATTAAAAGCCGCAACAGCAACAAGTTTAGCCATAAAACTAATTTGTATGGACAGTATGTCGGCCCCTTTTGCTTTATTATTATCTCGACATTATAGCATGGGATATTTGCAAAGAAGAGGTCACTCCGATGAATTTTTAAAAAAAGTTTTAATTACCTTCAACTTCAGTAGATGCTTTTGTTCCCAAACATTGTCGAACACTGCTTGTTACCTGTACGCTGTAGCCTTCCAGAAACTCTGTCTCTCATGTTATCACACAAGGCAAATTGTCTGTCTAAAAGCTTGTGCAGTCTTGTTCGTCACACAGCATTGCATACTTTGGAAACCATATGTTCCGTTTTGCTGCTCTGGTCGCCTGATTGTGGATGAGTCATGCAGGGGAGTCGTCACTCCACACATACATCTCACATCGAGCTCTCAATCAAGACCCAAGCAACACTTTCATAATCGTGGATCCGCTGGCAAACCTCAGCAATAGTTGCTCTTGTAAGCTTTAGTCTATGCTTCATGCTACGCATGCGGCCAGCTTTGGTAAAATATTTTATCATCCAAGCATCCCACTGGAATATGGTATTCAATATGAGGGTAGACTCGGACAATTTAATTGGTCCACTATGATGTATTCAGTAAATTCGTTGGTCAGACGTGGGTAAATCTATTTGCGGCTTGAAACGCATTGGATAAAATACACAAGTAAACCGCATCACATTAAAAAGTATTAGGTCAAAAGCGGCTTATAGTCTGGAATTTACCTTAATCGGAGGTTGATTGTGTGCTGCATATGCATTTTTTATGCAGCTGACAACATCACCCAGGTTCTACAAATTTAGACAAATAAATGGATTGAAGGTGGACTTTTTAAAGTCACAGTAATGGGCCTTTCAGGGCCATAATTCTCGCTGATTGGCACCTGTTCAAATACTTAATTTTCCGCACAAACATACACATGAATTCTGAAAAATAAAATCATACACTATGCTTTCCAAATTCTATTTATTTATTTGTAGATTGTGTCTTTCACAGTGGACATGCACCGACAAAGAAAATTGTCGGAGAACTTGCAAAATCACAGCGTGGTTAAATACATACTAACCCTACTGTATATTTTTATATTATGTCATGTTTTTCATATTCAGTGTGTATAAATACAGTATGTTTGAATCTATCCATGGAACAAAAGAAGCATCAATGTCAATGCAATTAAAAACTTAAACAACTTGCATTTGAACACATGCAGACAGTATATAACAAAAACAAAATACAAGCGTGTACTGTATTATAGTTTTGTTGTGAAAAATGACCAACATTACTTATAAGTATAGTGAACTTATAGTGCCCCCCTGGTGGCCAAACATTGGCACAATGTCCATTGAATTGTAGCATGAAATCATGATGCAAAGATTCTTAACATTCTATAAAACAGATACTTATTGTGTGTCTAAAAGGCTCTAAGACATAATTTGTTTTTAAAAAGTACAATATGGTTGAGTCAGATTTTTCAGGTCAAAAAAAGCAAAAGCAAACACGTATTTGGGCGTGTCTATTGGGGGGCTCGAACGGAATGTTGACATCATGACATTGATATTGAATTTCCATTAAATTCAAATTTAAAATGGGGAAAGTTGATTTGTGATGTGAGGTATTTGAGTTTCGAGCATTGTAACATGTTCTAATAATCAAGTGATTTCTCTGACCGAGTACATGGAACTGAAATGTACATTTTTTTGTTAAGAAACAATACTCTCCCGACAGGCCTCAGATAAAAGCAAAAAACCACGGCGTGGCTCTCACTTGCAACAACATGGAACACCGGCGACTTCAACATCACTGGAAAATGAGAGCATGCTCCTGCCTCATGACAGAGTTGGCAGTGACTTCTCTTGGCTTCAGCCCCAAAGTCACATGGCTTCCAAAGCTGAGCCTTTTGAAGATGAGGAGTGGTTCTTATATGGCGATGAAAAAGCCAAAAAAGAACATCTATACTCTCAAACATCTACGACACGCACGACTGGAGAGTTGGTCAAACCACAGTGGGATGAAATGAAGACTTGGGATCTGGGCAGTAAACAGCATAATCACGATCAGTCATATTCCCGTCTTTTGGATGGCTTCTTATCGTCAAGACAAGTCTTTGCTAATCTGGACAACAATGAGTGTGAGAAGATCAAAATGATATTGAACAATTTGACCAAAGGAAACTGTAATGAGATTGGCAAACAGTTACCTCCAGAGCAGCCTCTTAGTTCGACAGCGGCTTCTTTGGGATTGTCTCAAGACCCTAATATGCAGAGCGCTTTGGAGTCCCTACAGTCACTCATCAAAGGTGAGAGGATATTCCATCAAGTATTAAGATTATTCATTTCATTTAGTGATTTTAGAATTTATGACCAGCCTCATGTGCTTATACAGTACATATACAATACAATACAATATACAAGAACGGCATGACATTAGAAAGTCAAAAAGTCAAGCTTACAAGGATGGTTACTTTTAACCTTTGTGGATGTCAACATAACTCTGTTCAAGATGCCAAGTTTGGGTGAGGACAGAAATGAGACCAAGATAAATCACATCAATGTTTTCTTAACTTTAACGAACAGAATATAATGTTTTTTATTGTCATTGTACATCAGGTATACAACGAAATTGGGGACACATTTTGGAGGAATAAAAGTGTTGGCTAGTAACCAAGGAGAGAGAACAGCCAGTGAACTTCTGGGCGGTGTTGATCAGTCTTTGCAGCCATCTCTTGTTGCCTGTAGTGCACCCAGCGGATCACCCTGTGATGCAGCACACAAGGATGCTCTCAATGGGGGCTTGGTAGAAGGTCACAAGCAGCTTCTCCTCTATGTGTTTTTTTCCTGAGTACTTCCAGGAACTGGAGGTCTGAACTCAAGGGGGCCTTCCAAAACCTCAATCTTCTGCTGAAGCCGTTCTTTTGTTGAATTGGATGTTTGCTTTGGGTTAATCCATTCCCTCTGATTGTTTGGAAGCTCTTCGCGGACTGCAGAGGGGATCCGGCCATTTGCCGATCCTTTGCACACAGGTTCTTTTTCTTTCTCTAAAATGTGGAATAAAAACCCAACCCCACAATGTCTTTTCTTCACTTTATCACAAGACAATATGAATTGATTCGGGCCTCTATCCTTTTGATGTCGTGAGAGCGCACAGACAAATACAGATAACAAGTATCTATAAAGACAATATGTTAAGGAGAGGCGGATAGTCACACCCTCATGCAAAACAGTAACAAAGAAAGCAAAATGCAATCAGATCCAGCGTGGCGGTACCTCCTACTGTCTTCAGCCTGACCTTTGATGTGGTGCCAGCAACATACCGATAGATATTCGAGATAACAGTTCCTTTTTGATGTTAACCATGTTCTCTGGGAAGTCCTTATAAAAGTGGGTGTGATGAGACACAAAGTGAATCACAGTTAGGTCGGTGAATAGTTTAAACAGTATACTACATTCTTTCTTTCAAGAGTCTTTCAGAGCCAACAACAAAGGAGGTAGTAAGTTATAGGAAAGGAAAAAATCCTCTACAGGACCATTGCTTGTATTCTAAGATGCGACTACAAAGATGTCAGGAAAACCATAATAACAAGTGCCTTCTATTTGGGGTTTATCAGAGGTACTTGAAATGGTGGCAGGTGCGTGCTGACTTTGCTCTAATATGAGTTTGAATGTGAGCGGTTCATTCTGAACATAGCCACATCCTCAATATTAAGAGCGTGCGCATAGTTTTCGGTGGTTCACTTTACTTTCCCTTCTCTAAAAGAGTTTATTTACTCTTAAAATTGAGTTGTGCGGCGCACATTGTTCGTGAAAGTAGTTTTCGACTGAATTATCTTGGTCTCCTTTTTTTGTAACAGAGAAAAATTGTATTTGAACAGGGGTGTGTCGACTGGATATTCAATGTGCATTCTCGATTAGAATGTAATCTGTAATTTACACATGATACTTATTTATTCAGTTAAAATTTGTTGCAACATTTTTATTGTTGTCTTGGATCTTTTTTTCCTCCCCTGTTATCAAGGATAAGGTTTGGTGTCTTCTGGACATGACGGTGGACCCAATCTATTGAAAACTGCTGTCTGATATACTTACCATCTTCTGTTTTTCTTGATCAATTCTTGATTCATGCAGACTCTTAACATTTTGCTTTGGCTTTTTTTAAGCAACCAAGGATAAGCGAGAAAAAGGTGATACAGCTGAGACATCTCTGTCATCCTACGAAAAGCACAAGGTAAATAATTTCTTTGCTAATTCTGAAACACCCTGACAGATCTTAAGAGCTTCCAACTGTTATGGATTGCCCGTGTTTTGTAACAGATATCACTGAATGCACACTCGTAATGTTACGGGTATTAAAAAAAAAAAAAACATGGGTCACATTGCTCAAACAGGTTGAAAACGAGTAAAAATATGTGGTAGATAATTGCGACGTATATTTTACAACACACTGCTAACGTGGCTTTGTCATCACTCACTCTTGGGGACTACTGTCTTCGCGGGGGAGAAAAAAAGGTGTGCGTGTTCACTGAGTGTGAATGTGTAGAATGTGCAGTGTTGGAATGTCACTCCTAAGTAAATGTTTGAATAATCTTGTGATTGATTTATTCTTTGAAGCATTCCTATTAACTTGTGCAATTACAATAGCTTAATTTTAGTAAGGATAGTGTACAGTCAGAGCCAGGGGTCCACACAACCAGAGTGGTGGTGCTCTTGAGCACTGGAAATGTAATATTGCTCTCCAGTTTAAATCAGCCACTGCACTTTTGCGCACTGAAAATATCAGGTCAGCATCAATTCAAATTCAAGTCAGCCGCCACAAGGATTGATTCCGAGGTCCAACTTCAAAATAAAATCTAGGTTTTTTTGTTGTTGTTTTGAAGTTGACCGTCGCATTGCATAATGGCTTATACACAATGGTAAATATGAAAGCTAAATATGAATTTAATGTATTTTTATAAAACAGTCAATTGTATTGTTTTAATAAGCCACAATTGCTGTTATGTTGTTGTAATTAAGAAATAAAAACTGACCAAAAGAAAAAAAAATGTTAAAAAGTTTATTCAGTTTATATTAAAATGACATATCTACATACATTAACAATACATCTTGCCCGGATGTGCTGTTTAAATTCATCAGCAAGATCAGTGGATCGGGGGAAAAAAACACATTTGACACATATGAGACCATCCTTGGAAGAATACTGAAATACAATAATCCTAATTAGTTTGATCTTTTTTCGTAATTTGTTGATTTGACTTGTCATTTCTATATTTTAGCCAGGTGATAAAAGTGAAAGGGACAAAGTCAAACGAACAAAAATGACTCAAACTGAAAATTTGATGCAAGAAATGGGGGAAATGCTCAAAGAGGACGGTAAAGTAGCCTTCCTTTGTACACTCTTTATTATATAAATTGCACGATTATTGAATACATTAAAACACTCACTGTTTCTGGTTTTTTTTTGCGGTGTTTTTTTTTTTTTTTTTTTACAGGATTACATTTTCTAATACCAGTGATTGGATTTTACTGCCAGATATGTGAGGAATTCATTGGAGATTTAAGTAAAGCTGAAACCCATGCAGCCATCCACGCTCATCCTAAAATTGGCCGTGTGAGTATTCCCTTTCCAACACAAACTGTTTGATAGTCACATTGCATTCCAAATTATTGTGCAAATGATATTTTTCTCAGATGTTTATAGTCTATGCAAATGGTACTGAATAATAAGAATAATGTCTTTATGAGGTTATGAGGTTGTACAGGTCAAGTTGCATTTGAACGTAGGACCTCTAATTTCACAGCAGTTTTGCAAACCTTGTAGCCATTGAACTTGAGTTTTGACAGTTTCTCTGCTTGAATTTATTTTTCACAGATTAGGCAATTGTGCATTTGGAAGCTGTAACTACACAGACCTGGTGCACTTTACCTGAAACAACAGACAAACACCCGTTCTATTGAAGCAAACAAATTATTCCCTTGCAGTCGGCTTTTATACTAAGATTTTCAATTGAACCCGCGGGCTAGGGCCACTGAAGTGTACATTCCTTTAAAATATTAAACATTTGATCACACTTGTTTCCTTTTCCTTGTATCATCCAATTTATGCTGTGGACCCAGATAGCTGACTCGGTCTCCTTTTGTAAAACACACAAAGAAAAAAAAAATACAAATTGTTTTATTTTAGGCAATCTTTATTATTTTTGTTATTATTCAATCTTATATGTCCAGGTAATTGAGAACTGATTCTCATTTGCAATACCGACTTGGCTACAGACAGCAAGATTTAGTTGCTTCCACACAGTACTTAGGGTCTGGGTACGAATAATGGCTTGGACCATGACTTGACTTTTGTTTTGCTGTTGTTTTTCATTACCTCGGACTTTCAACATTTAACCCCCACCCCGACCCCCCCTTAAAAATGCCTCAATGTTTTTGATCTCTTCACCAAATGTAATATTTTATTGGAAACATATTTAAATGTAACTACACCCTGATTTTTATCTTGTTTGGCAGAAAACACTTGTGAGTAAACATACAGAAGAGACCAAAGGACACTCCAGCTGCAGCAGCAGTAGCAGCACCAAACACCATCCCACATTGTCAGACCAGAGAAGCAGTTATACAGAGAGAGGAGACAGCGGCAAACCGGGAAATCATTACGATAGGAGCCACGAGACTGATCACACAAGCAAACAGGAGGATGGTTATCATCGTAGTCACCAGCCCGGGCAGGAAAGTAATTTGTTCAAGAAGATGAGGGAGGAGAAGATGCTCATAACTGTTTGTGTTGAATCACCAAATGTTAAGGAGGAGCTGAATAAGGATCAGGACATAAAAATCCATGCTCAACTTAAGGAGGTATCAGCATCCAATGGGAAGTCGAATGACGTTTGCAAAAAAGACGCAAAGGAAAAAGATGAAAGCCATGACAGCACCGATGACCAAGAAAAGGAATCAACAGTAAAGTCACACAAAAAGAAAAAGAAAAAGGAGAAGAAAAAGAAGAAGAACAAGAAGAAAAAGAAGCGTGATTTGTCTTAGCAATACACTGTGCTTGCTTGTTAAAAGTTCAAACCTCAACAAAAGTCACATCACAACATCTTTGCGAGACAAAGTTTTGATTTGTCAGGTGTAAAATAGAAGTTCGTTTTTTTATTTTATGTGGCCTGTTAAAATTGGCCTGTGGTTTGTGATAAAACCTGTACCGGAATTGAAAATTGTCACATTTGAAGTTATTGCAAGCATTTATTTGGTTCTTTTGGAAATACTGTTAAATAAAAAAATAGAAGAAAAAACAATTTTTATTGACCTCTGATTTCAAAAGTAGTTCTCCATCAATTTGCTGCGTATCTGTAATAATAATGTGAGCCGATTATATATTTTTATGCAGTGAAATATCTGAACAAGTTCAGTGATTGAAAGTTTTTGAAGTCGTTCATATTTTGTGCGAACATGAGCTATGCACACAAATTTCTGTATTTATCACAGGCAGGTCATCCCTTGTGTGTACATCCCAACCACAAATAGCCGGTGAATATTCAGTATGAGGGCGGACCCGGACATTTTCGTTGGTCCACTGTGACGTAATCGATAATTTCATCGGTCAGATATGATGAGACAATGGGTAAGTCTGGCGACAGCTTGAAACTCGTCAGTAAATAATACGAAATCAGCCGCATCACATTATAAGGCACAACATTGAAATCAGGGGGGAAAGTAGTGACGTATAGTCCGGAAAAATACGGTCAAATAAAAACAGAAGACAATGATATACTATTTCATTATTTTCATCCTGTATTCGATTGAATAGTGACAAGATATTTCATGTTCAAACTAAAACTTCTTTTTTTCATAGCTAGGACAGTGGCATATTTACCAGTTACATAACCTTTCTTTTTAACAACACAGTCTGGGGTCTCCTTGTGTCTTTCATATTAATTCATGGCTCATTTGCCATCATTTTAGCTGAAGCCTAACCTGACAAATGGCAATCACAGTATTGGGAGGAAGGAGGGGCAACGGTGAAATAATAAGATGTCATTTTGGGAACATTGATTTTGCAGATCTTCAATCAAAATCAAAATGCAGCACTATTGTGCAAACAAACAAAATTGCCGGTACTATAAATATTTAACATGCTATATATTAATATCCTTTTAGTCTGAATCTCTTTGATGACACACGTCAATTCATTTTCAGTTTTCGGAATGTATTGTGTGAGGCTGTGTACCTGTATTTCAATTTTTTTTAATTTTATTTTTTCTCAAGGCACTTTTTGATCCGCTGTTCATGGTTGGTTACTCTCTGCCTTAACAAACGTGGTTCCAGAGCGACTTAAGTGAAAATTGTCCTAAAACATCAATCATTTATTCTGGTGTTTTGTGACTACATTTAATAATAATTTAGAGCTGGTTTAGCATGGTTTAACATTAGCATGTCTTACCCTGTACATTACTATTCGTCGTCCTTCTATGTTAAAGGACTTCTTTTTCCATTTAAATTTTTTTTTCTTTACAATCTTTGATATATCAGGTTTGGAAGATAATTTGAGTTGGAGATGAGCAGGCCGGATGCCCTTTTTCCAAGCTATTTTTGTTTGTCTGAAATAACTGCCATTTTGAATGGTCCATTTTCTCATTGGTATTCAAAAATGTTCAACATGAAAATAACCTTTACTCCAATTTCATCTCTCTTCTCCTTAATTTGATATGCAAAAGATCTTTGCTCAGATTGGCTATGTCCTGACATGGGCGTTCACTGGCCACAGTGTCTCCTGATTGTGTTGGCTCCATTGAAATTTAGCAAGCTGGTTAATTCATTTGATTTCACTTCAAGTCAAGTATCAAGTACAACTTTATTGTCAAATGTGCATACAGCACAGATGAAATTTCTTCCCTCTCACAACACAACAAGAGGAGCCGCTGCGGGTGCCCGCGCCGCCATCAAAAGAAAAGTTAACATAAAATGACAAAATAATACAAGACGACACATTAGACACAGACAATCATGCAATCTTAACCACTTTCCTGCATACACTTTGTTGTCTGAAGCACTTGAGGTATTGATTACATGTAAATACCACTAGGCTCCTCAAATATACATCACAATACATAGACATGATCTTCCACACCTGATCGGTATTTTCTGGAACTGGACCGCTTTGAATTTTAGGTGAATCAGTACGAATGCTATGTTGTTCCTCAGCATTTCCCCCATACTGCCACAGGGGGAGCCCAAGGATTACTCCGAATTCACTCACAAATGTTCGCTTCCACTAAGAGATTGTTTTGTTTTGTTTTTGGAAGACGCTGTCAATACAATTGGTTGGCAACAAACAGAAGGTTGCATGCAATTTATATAAATGTCCTTGTCCTAACAAAGCTAGCAAGATTGTTGGCCTATGTAAGAGAAAATTGTTGGCCTATATACTGAATTTGAGTCATATTGGGGTATGTTAGTGTCAACAGCTGCTGATTTCTCACCACAGACAAAATAGATGCCGTTTACACTCATGGGTCAAATGTGACTATAATTAATTTTAATAATTGTTTTTAAAGCATGTATTCCTTTCCTGACATCAACTCTCACTATCCGGGCACGAGGCAAGCAGTGAGTCTCATCATTTCGTCAGCAGCTGCCCAAGGTAAGCAAATGCTTTAAAAAAAATGTCCTTATTGGTTCTTTCCGTTAATATGGATGCTTTTCGTTGCCCGCAGTTATAGCTAGTCCTACGAACAGTTGATGGAATCTTTTGTGGGTCCAATTATAGTCCTAATGTGACGAAAGACGAAAATAGCTTGGACATTGGGTGCTCTTGATTGGTTTTCACTTCGACAGAATGTGGAGAGGTGGGATGTACAAAAGGGGTGTAAAGATGAATTACTTGGGAGACTAACGTTGCAACACTGTTGCAGCTGTCCAATTTGTTCGTGCCCATTGCCAGATTGCTCACCAACAAGGCAGAGCGTTCTACCTCCGCCATGACTTGTGAGAATGTATTCCTACCAAATCAGAACCAGGTCACCAATCGTCAAGTCAAAGCAAATGATCACGGTTACATAGTAAGTTTTCGCCTCGATATTTTTTTCTTATTTTGCAGTTTCATTCCAACTTTCAGAAACATGCATGTTTGGTTCTCTATCCTCTCTAAATTGTGAATCTGAAAGTAAATGGTCGTCTATACTGTATACGCCCTTAATTTGGCTGATGACCAGTCTTGCCTAAAGTAGTCTGGCTTAGGTTTTAGCTTACTTACAGCCCTAACAAGAACAAGACAAGTAATTCAGAAAGTAGATGGATGTACACCATACAGCAAAAAGTGGAAGTTACTTTAACCCCTTTACCGCCATTTTTGCAAATCAAACCGCCTCTGCTCCAAATGTGGCCAAAAATAGTGATGTCGTTTTCCTGTGTTCTGTATTCCTCCACTGCCGGTCAATTTATTACAAACACATACCTCGGAACCATTTGCAAGCATTCGTTTTTCTTGTTTCCAGTTGAAGGGTACTCTACATTCTTTTTTGGACTGCTAAGCTTGACAGGTGCTGCGCCACCATTTTTGGACTCCAAACTTGGATAATCTGTCCATCTTGAGGTAAGCTGTGCTCAGAAAAATATGTAGCTGTCTTATCGTGTACTTTAATCACTAAAATGAGGAGGTAGAGTGCCGATGACAAGTATTTTTAAAGATGTTTGACAAATTTTGTTTGATGCTAATTCGCTACAGTCTCCCACAATGTTGGTTTTTTTGGGGGGGGCGGGGGTACCCCTGTATATGGCTTCCGGTGACAATGGCTTTTTTCCTGCCGCAAACACGATGCTGTATTTAGACGGCGTTCAACACTCACTCATTTTCTTTCAAAGTGGCCATTCCAGTTAGTATCTGTTAGCATTACAAAATAGCGTGTTGAGTTATAATTGTAATTTCTGTTGATTCTTTTTCTGTAGAGCTAAAAATGATTGCAGCTTCCATCTATTCAAAGTGAGTAGGAGGACCTCGGACCAGGCTTCCTCCTGTGGACAATGACGGCAGCTGTCTCAGTGATAGTGGGGACAGCGATGAGAAATTCACCCCTAAATCAGTTAAAAGTAAATTTGTAAAGTTTCAGCTTGTTCAACTTGATACTTGTTGGTGACATTTACCGATATAAGTATGTGTACACATGAAATGGAAAAAAAAGTTTGCTTTTTTTGAAAAGTGATTTCTTCTGTATTAATTGTAAAGGCCAGATTGTGTACAAAAGTGCAAAGTGTAACGTTCATCTGTGCCTCAACAAAAACTACTTTGTGAATTCCACAAGTGAGCTGAAGTGACAGACTCCATGCTGAAAGGTCAGTCAAACTGAGTGGGAGGTAAGTGAACTTGTTTAACATAAATATTCAGTTTTTAAATTTTGTTTTTATAGTTTATAATAGTGTTTTATAATAGCATAGCAGTTATAAGCGGTGTAACTCCTGAAAATAACTTGTTACATCAATAAAAATCTCCATACCACGTGTTTGTTTTTTTTATACCCGTTCTTGCTTGTTTGCATCACACTGAAATGCGTGTGTATGTATGTATGTGTATATATATATGTATGTGTATATATATATATATATATATATATATATATGTATGTATATGTATGTGTATGTATATGTATGTATATGTATGTGTATATATATATATGTATATGTATGTGTATATATATATATATATATATATATATATTAGACGATGTTCTATACTCAAATTAACATTCTTAACTTAATTTTACATCTACTTGAAAGCAAAAACAAAGCCCAATATTGTTTTTGAATTATTGGAAATAAATTCAGGCGTCAAATGGTTAAGTCAAGGCAAGTCAGCTCTATTTACATAGCACAGGATCCATGAATTTATACACAAAGCAACACAAAATGCTTCACATAATTAAAAGTACATTTAAAAGCATTTACAAACAAGAGGTAAATGTTGAAAAGCAAAGTAAAGAAATAAGAAATAATGTATTTTCACGACCATAAGATGCACACAAAAGTCTTATTTTCTCCAAAATGGAGGGGGCGGCTTGTAATTTCGGGTCGCCTTGTGTATGCACCAAGTTCCAAAATTTGTGACTATCTATGCACATACCCACATGCATGCAGGTTAGCTAGACAATAGAGGCGCCGTAGTCTTTAATATTAACACATACCCTTTGCCTTAAACTTCCTTCTTTCTTTCTAATCAAAAATTACAGCAGCATGTCAACTGTCTGACCACCAGTAATGTTTCCTCGCTTGAAAAAAAAACTTCAGCTAACTCTTACCTAGCAACTTCATTCAACAGTAAATGCCCCCCGCCCCCACTCCAAAAAAAAATTACCTGTCATGACAAAAATGTGTTCGTACTGAGTAGAAGAAATGTAACATCCAGGTTAAAGCAAGGACGCACTCACATGCACTCTTGACGGGAGGGGTACAGTTGCAGCACTCGCACTCAGGAAGAGTTGGAGTGATAGCTCCGGCCCTGGAGTGAGCCAGCCAACGTCTGCCTCCTCGCGGCTCTTGCATTGATGACGCCAGGCAGACCGGAAGCCGCAAGAACGCAGTGAATGGACACGGCTTACATACGTCGTGGTAATATACTTCAATTGTGCAGAAATATTCTCACTAAGCATTTAGGTTAATTTACCTGGTCGGCTTGGAGGTGATTGGTGAGATGACGAGTGGATACCTTGAAACCTCAACAACGCCGCGTCTCCAATTCACGTGTTGTAAAACACATTGCAACTGCTTTTGTTCATTTTCTGTTTGAACAATTTCACCAGATTTTTGTTTGTTTGTTTTTTGGTTTTAAATCGTGAGCAACGTTCGGATACACTGCACCTCTCATCTTGGTGTTGTTGTTTTAATCCTGAGCAAGGTTAGGATATACTGCACCTCTCAGCCAAAGTCAGTAGGGGTCGGCTCCAGCTCACTCGCGACTTCAAAATTAATCAAATTCAAATATCAATTAGTCAGATTCAGTTTCTGGTGGCACGTATTCAGGCCATAGGTCCAATCCAACCCGTGGGGACTAGTGATGTGTCGTTCGCGAACGAACCGGCTCTTAGAGCCGGCTCCTAAAAGGGAGCCGCTCCTAATAGGAGCCGACTTTTTTTTCTCTCCTGTTTTTTCCCCCCATTCGGATAAAGCCGCACGTGATTGGTCAAGATCCGTGGTAGAAGAGGGAGGGGAGGGTTACACACAAGCTGCAGCGTCGAGAAGGGGGAGGAGTTAGAGACACACACAGCAGCACACTGTGAGCAGCACACGAACAGGAGAGACAGGGAGACGAGAGAGAGCTCGATAGCGCTACAGAGAAAAAACAACACGGTGGAAAGTGGAAAGGTGAGAAAATGGATAGGAAAAGCAGTGAAATTTGGACTCATTTCAACTTAATTGATAGTTCAAGAGCAGTGTGTAGACTGTGCAAGGTTAAAATATCCAATATCAAATTTTAATTTATAATTTGTTGTGTGGTAATCAAAGCTTACTTATGTTGTTTTACTGAAAATAGTTAAAAGCTTATAAATATACACAATCATAGATTGGAACTTTTTGTTGACCTTGTTTTGAGATGGGTCTTTGTTTTTGTACTTTGTAATTTATTTTTTGTAGCACTCCATGGTGAGTATGTTCGGAAGAATATAAATAAAGCCATAGAAATAATAAATATTTGATATACTGTATATTTTTTACATTAGTAATTCATTTTACACATAATTTTACATGATTTTTGGAAGTAAATTAATTTAAGCAACAAAAAAACTGAGGAGCCATTTGGGAGCCGAAAGAGCCGGCTCTTTTTAGTGAGCCGAGCCAAAAGAACCGGCTCTCGAAAAGGAGCCGGAATTCCCATCACTAGTGGGGACAGAAAACTCATCCAGCAATTTTGCAACGAAAAAAATTTGCTAATTTTGACCACTGGAGGGCGCACTGATGACAGCTACAGTACTCAGAATTTCACACCAAATTATCGATGCACTTGTGAAAGCTAAAATATGCCAAGTTTCAGGAGCGAAGCAAGCCTACTTCATGTTGTCACTGATGTGCCTCCTTTGCACTCTTTGGAGAATACAGTTGTCTTACTGTGAATATTAACTGTCGAGCAAAATGTCAGTCAATCGCTTAAATTCAAAATCGGTTGGTTTGGTGGAACCCTGATGTTTTTTTTTCCCATGTACTTTCATCCATTTTTTATACATGTACAAGGTCGGCGGGCAGCTGCACGCTCTTTGTGAAGAGTTGCCACTTCAGTTTTTATGGTTTGATGAGTCAGTTGAAGTTGCCAAGATTTCCAAACGTATGTGAAAATGTATTTACATTTCTCAGTGGCGGGCCGTGCATTTCAACCTTAGGCCTTCAGTGACGTCACGTCAAGCAACACTTAATTTCAGGAGCATTTAAAACCATCAAGTATGTATTCCCAATTAAGAGCAGGAAACTAAATTTACAGATATTGTCAAAAATAAAAAGATGATTTAAAAATACGAAATAAAATGCCACCCAAATTACGCTGTGTGATCTTAAACAAGTCTGTCCAATAAATTGCGCAATGTCGCAGTTTCAGATAAGACACCAACAAAACAATAACAAAACAAACTATTCTTTGAAAATAAACAGATCATTTGCATTTTGAAAATCGGCGATACAACAGCAAATAACTGAAAATGTTGAGCAGCTGAGATTGAACGAACTTTCGTGCACGAAGGT